AGAGAGAGAGAGAGAGACAGAAACCGTCACGGCCCCCCATGCAAGGCAGATCAAGCAAAGCATCGCCCGTGCCAAGCACACGCAGATCATGGCAAGAGTGTTGTCAAGTACAAGTCAATCCCGCATTATCATGTGGTGATATGCTTGTCGAGGTAAACAATTCGTTCCCAATATCCATGCATACTTCACACACAGGGGAGTCCAGGTGCCTCGAAGATTGATACTCTGCTGCGCAGTAAAGCATAGGCTCGCGGTGTTTTCCCCTTTTGGAAATTGGAAGTGATCTGGTTTTGAAGAATCTACGTCTGATCCACCAGCGTTGAGGAAGCGTGCAAAAAATGGCCTTGTTTGCGGTAACAGAAAGAGACGGTCATCAGCATGACCCGACGTGTGACCGCAAACACAATCAGCAAGTGGGCGACGGAGTGCTGCCAGCGCCGAGGGAGACATACTCCAAGCACAGAGGGCACACTCAAAGGCGACCCAAAGCCATGCGCCAGCTGCAGCGGGAACAGCGTTCCAGCACCGAAGGCGAACACGCCATCAAGCATGTGCAATGAAGAATCTGCACAAATTGACAACGCCAGCGCAGCAGTAAGCGGCTCGAAGATGCAGTAGCAGAGGCATCGAACAACAGAGCAAACAATAACCCTCAGTGTCTGCAAGAGCAACCATAGGCCAATGTGCTGGAGATGTAACGGGCCAGATTGGTGTGAAGTATACTGTTAGACGATGTGCATTAAATGCTGTTGCAAAAGCAGTCGAATTATCCTAAAGGGAAAAACGCGCGGCGCCAGTCTCACAATTTCACCGCTGGACCACTCACGGATTGAGCAAGGTAAGGGGTGCTCATCGGGACCGGGTCCCTTGTTACCGCCCCGGGGCCCACACCCACCCTGCGCACCCCCGACCCGAACGACTGCTAGGCCCGAGGGGGTCAAGAACCCCCAGATGTTTGCAGCTGCGTCACCTCATATGGTTCCTTCGGCGCCAACATCTTCCTTTCAATGATTCGAGCCTTGACAGCAAGGGAAGGACCTTGCTAGGTCCCCTCACCAGTCCCGCTCGCTGGCAAGAGGCGTGAGCTCGCTTCAGGGACAGAATCTCAGGATCTTCCCGAAACTTCCACTTTATGGCCATCGCGGTGTAGTTACCTGCCATGTGTGCAGGCAGCAGAAAAGCTTCCAACTTCTCCCTTCGAGAGACCCGGGCTCAACATCTGCGTCAAGGACGTTAGCGCAACATCCATCGCATCCTGTCCATGTCGGTGTAGCAACGAGACACAAGACACAAAGTAGCGAGCGTTTGCCTTGCTCAGGGTATCTTCACGATGCATTGCAGCGGTGAGAAGAAGAACTAAGCAGAAGTGGCCCTGGGCCAGACATAACTCGCCATTCGCCATGCGCGCAAAATATCGCTGTCGCCTGGGACAGCGCATGCTGCGCTCCGGCGAGGATCTCGAGCTCAAAGCCTTGACCAGAAGTACACCGTTGTGGGGAGCGACACTCAAGGCAAGCAGGGTGCCTTGGACATGAATCTTCAACATGTCCACGACCTCGCAGAAATAGCATCAGGTCGAGCCAAACAGGAGTACAAGTGGTACAACGGCCCCCGTCCAGCGACAACGTTTTGTGACATAGACGGGTGGCATTGCTGAGACGGTGTCACAAGAGGTTCGTCGTCTGTCTCTCAAACTCCAGAGATCAAGTCCGGTTTAGTATCAACCTTGAAGGCAAAGCCGGGCCTACTCGCTCGCTAGAAAGAGAAGCGTGATGTTGTCTCGACAAACTTGTGCGAGTTTCTGGACCTGTCGCACTCGCCCCTGTCGCTTAGGACTTCGGGCATCCTAAGCCTTAAGAGCCACGAGAAACATGTGTGTCAGACTAGGTTTTCAGTCGAGTAGTTGAGGCCAGAGTCTTCGGGTGACCTCGGTCTCTTTCTGCAGCAGGTTGTCGACAGTCTCCATGGTGACCTCACGACAACTCGAAGCTTCAGCGAAGAACATCCAAACAAAGCAACAGCACACGAAACCCTCCGGCCAAGCAAAGCGCTCGTTGCACCTCGCAGGGTGACAGCCAGTCTATTTCAGTCTGCTCGGCAAGAGGCCACGACATGCACATGCTCTGAACGCTCATGCCTCGCAAAAGCCAGGAAGGCCTTGGCATCCAAGTTTCTCTCAAAAGCAACGTCTCCTCACAATTAAGAGAAGCCTGCTAAACAGGCGTGTCTCTCATAAAACTGGTGCATATCGTGCCAAAGGGCCTTGGCATTCAGGGAAGGAGGCTTGCGCTGAGGCACGCCGCTTTAGGTTGATGTCCAACTCCCCTACCTGGGAAGATCCAAAGTGTTAATGTCCCCATGCCATTGGGAGCTCCTGCCTTTGCACCCAACGCCATCTGCCTCACTGCCAGTTTCGAGCCATCGCCGTTCTGGCGAAGGCGCCTCTTCCACGGCTTCTTCCCCCTCCCCCTGACACAGGGCAGGCATGGGCAGGCGTGGCCTGGCCTCAGCAGCGCGGCAGCCTCGAGACGGTGAGCATGTGGCCCATGTGCACGCAGAGTGAGCTCGACCGGGCTTCAGGCTGATCCTCGCGTCGCAACTGCCGAGTCGTGGATCGGCTCAAAGAGGATGGCATCGATGTCAAAAAGGCTTCGCCTTTCTGTTGCAGCAACCGGACATGGCCAAGACCAGTCCAGGCTTTCATGACAGAGGGACTCCATGTCTGACGTGTACGGGGCGTTGCATTGCCTTGCGCCTTCTTCTTCTTCTTCCAGAGCTTCACCATGCCGTATGTCGAGATCGTAGTCACTAACAACTGGTAAGATCCACTGTGGGGCACATGCCGTGCTGATGTGCTGCATAGAAGCGGTTGTCTGCTTCGCCTGCCCCAAGAAGACAGCATGTGGACGGCCATAGTGCCTGACAAACGAAGGCCGCTCTGAGTCGGGTAGCTGAGTGGAACCATCAGAGCCGAAGCGCTGCAGTCGCCCTGGTTGGCACCAGCCTCCCACCAGCTCAGATGCTCGGCCCCGGCCCTTGCAAGCATCGCCGGGGCCGAAACGAGAAAGACACCACTGCAGGAAAACACTGACATCACCTTGAGCCTACCTGGGAAAGGACCGAGGGTCGACCAGGACGGCTTCCTTGCAAGCACTTCCTTGGCAAGCATGGAGATCCTCAGTCGGTCGGGATGATGATAAAACACACCCATGTATTACATCCGCAATAGCAGAATTGCCTCCTGGCAGTAGCCCTGAGATCAGACAGCAGGCAGACAGTATTTGTTAGCCTCTCCTTAGGCGCTTGAAAAAACGTCTGACAAAACAACGGGAAACTACCCTGTGCCACGTCCCCGGTCTGTCCCCCAAGCCTCCCAAACCCCGGGTTCGAAACCATCTCTATAAAGGCTGTAAAGCACGATTTATGTCCGTCTCACGTGCATTCTCTCAGTTCTCTCCACTCACAAGACAGTGTGAAGCCGAATTCATGGGCAAGTCCCCTCCGGTATTGATTGATTCGGGGATCATTTTATGAGACCGAAACAATCGAAGAACGCATGTTTTCTGCAACCAATGAAAACTGCCTTCGTTCTCTCACACTCTCTCTCTGCTTGTTTGGGGTGAAACGTGTGCTTTGACTCTTGGGCTTAGATGCTCCTGATCGCTGGGTCTCGAAAGTTGAGTTGGTGAAGTATGTGGTCTGCGTATGGCTTTCTTTTATCCTCGTGAATGTTGTGACTCTTGAAGCTTTGCTACTTCGTGGCGTGTCCAAAGTGGCGACACTTACCTGGACGGGCAACGATTTCGGTCTGTGCCGCGCCCAGCTGCTGACCCTCAACCCTAAACCCTTTCATATCTGTACACCCAAATCCTAAACAACCTCACCACACACACCACAGGGCGGGTGCGAGTGCAAACCCTAAGCCCTAAACCCAACACCCACCACCACACCATCGGGAGGGGGAAGGGGGTTAAACCCTAAACCCGAAACCCACAACCCACCACCACACCACACCACACCACAGCGGGGGAGAGGGCAGGGTTAAATAACCCAAAACCCACCACCACACCACAGGGGGGACGAGGGGGGTTAACTGAAACCCACAACCCATCGCCACACCAGACCACACCACACCACAGGGAAAGCGTAAGGGGGGGATACCATGGGGTGGGGAGGGAGGGGGGTTGGGTATATGAATCGTTTTGCCCCATGTCGCATCGATGGGATTAAGCCCACTGAATGCATCCAAGGTGCACCAAGAGGAATGCCCAGTCCATGCACATAGGTTCCCTTTTTGCGCGGACAGCGTTACCTAAGGCGTCTGCTTTCAGTGAGCACAAACTTCATGAACGGACTGTCGTGAAACCCGATCAGAGGTACAAGCTACCAAGTGAAAACTGCCCATGTTAGCAACGTCTGCCAACAAGCATCTCAAGCTGTCATCTGCAGGCAATGGGTGCAGCTCCAATAGAGGCAGTTTGCCTCAAGCGCTGGCATTCGGCCCTCAAGAAAACGAAGCACCTGCGCTCTTTCCCTTCCCCGGCCCGACATCTCTCTCTGCCTTGCTGCCAGCTGCTGGGCATGGCTTTTTGATGCAGAAGGGGCGGAAGTTGGGGAAACCCAGCCTTACCGAAACAATCAAGTCAATGCTAATCAGCCCGAAGAGTCGCACAACAGCGGCATCTGAGGCGTGCTCCAACGCCTCCGCATGCACGATAGGCTGCAGGTGCAGGGCCTTTTGCAAAACGGCGAGACTGACTGCGGCAAGTAACCACGGCCTCCCCGTACCAGTCATGTGTCCAACAAGTCATGCCCTCGGTCTCTTCCTCTGCATCTGCCATTGCAGACAGGCACAGAATCGTCCCTCTTTACATCCAGAAGGAAATATACTCTGAACGGCCTAGTCATGCTCTTTTGCAACTATTGGTTTTCTGCCAAAGGTCATTGCTTGCCCAAAGATGGTAAGGCAGTCTGAGCCAGCGAGAACAACCAACTCAGAAATATACTCCGTGGTGTTCTGTAAGGTTTCACACCGTCATCGATTCGCCCTCCGTCGTCACTCCGATTCGTAAGCGTCGCCAACATGCTCGCAAAACACTTTCTTGACGGCATGCATCCTTCAAACACACGAGCATGTTCGGACATCCATGCATCTGCGCGCCATCTCAGTGGATGAACAATCCAAGCCAATCGCACGTTTTTGATCTACTGCGTATCTAAAAATCATGTAATTGGGCGTTGGATGCAGGCTGCGTAGTGTGGGAGCCATCGCTGCCTGGAACAAGTGGAGCACGAATGGAGGTGCAGCGAGCAGTCTCTTCAGCGGTGCGACTCCGTGACCTCCGCATGATCAAAGCTTCAGAAGTGCAGTGAAAGACTGTGAAAGCGACTCCCGGAGGAGGCAATGCAAGGGTCAGGGACACTGGCTGCCTACGTAGTGAACTTCACAAGAAATCGAGGATCAATGGAGCTGCACAGCTTCAGTCAGACCGAACCCCCGAATTGTCTACCTGATGTACAGAAACTGTCTAAACTTCAAAGTCTTGAGTCCTCTTCACTCCCATAATGGACCCCGACCTGAACAACTGTCCGTTACTCTTTGGCTCTTGCTCACGACGGATGCATTGCTAGAATCCCTCTACTCCGCCTGCCTCCGAGGAGTTCCCTCTTTAGCTGCATCTCACCGAGTGCCAGGAGTGTTGAGACCTCTGCCTGAGACCAAGCTAACCTCCGAAGGCTACTTCGCTTCCAGACTGAGCCAGCCTGGGCGGCCTTGTCTTCTGCAGTCTCCCCCCGCCAAGCCTGAAGAGATCTTTGTCTTTCGCACACGTGACTCCCGCCCCGTGCCTCGCGAAGGAAGTTCACTGCTGCCGACCACGAAGCCACACACACGGCCACCTGACATGATGCCGAAAATGAAACCCAAGTGCGCGCCTAGCGCCAGCGATGCCCGGCCGGTGCGCTAATGGAATTTGGAGATATCATGGTCGCAAAGGTCAAGTCCTGTCACAAGTGGCCGCGGACTGCACAAGGTGAAATGCCGGAGGTCCTGGGGGATGCGGAAGCTGGGATCATCTGGTAAGGCCTGCAAAAGCAGGATGCAACTGTCCTTAAAGCCGGCTGGTTTCCAAAAGCCCTCAGTCGCCGAATGATGGCGACAACTGACCGCGAACCTCCAACGCTGACAGAAGCCTGATCTCAACGCCAACCGATGGATGATGTAGCCAGGGGCCTACAACGGTCATATCTCGTCAACTGCCAAGAACAGTCAAAGAGTCCTGCACTAGCCCTGAGGCACACTCACATACTTTACGGGATCCCGTGTGCGCCTACATGGCTTTCCACCTCAGGAACCTGTCGCAGGAACAGAAGGACAGCACCCAGATGCCACCCACTGAGCATGATCCTGAGTCTTGGCCACAGCTTAAGAAAACCTTTCGAAGTCGCGCTGACATGCGGAGATGCTGTCAAGGGTCTCGTTCACAGACAAAGGACTCCTTCAGAATTCTGGCGGGCTTAGGGTTTAGGGTTTGGCCCAATCGCGAAAGAAGGTCAGGTTCAGCATCCAAAAAACTGCACCGTTATGTGTGCATCCACAGAAAAAAGAGCAATGGCCCAAAGCTGCTTGCGCTGGCACGAAGATTGCATAACCGCAACGCTGCTGAAGAGGCAGAGTGGCACACGAGCTCCTGAGCACCAAGGTGAAGAGATCCTCCGCAATCTCCCAAGCCGTGCTCACGCGCTGGCTCAGAAAGCCATCGCCGGCAGAGAAACCTGGTGGCCCACGGCAACGAAAGTTGTCTCATAAAAGCCGGCGTCATCTACTTATTCATGGCTGGCTGCTCTTCAGAAATGCAACCAAGTAGATGAAAAGAGGCATGCCATGTTGAATTGTAGACGTCACGAAATGCAGTCAAGCTAAGTCATCAGTGCCGCGAGACCAGCCGAAGCAAGCAAGCCGAAGCAGAAAGCTCTGACGCACACGCACGGGGCACACTGCTGCTAGTCTTTTTAAAATGCACTGGCCTTCCATGCTCAACTGGATCAGCGAAGCCAGCAGTCCACCCAGCAAGCACTCAGAAGCACGCCACCTGACCAGTTGGAGGAGAACACACATTGATACGAGAGTCCAAGCAGAGACAGTGCAGAAGCTGGGACAGAAGGTCGTCAGCAGGTGCGACCTCATCCTTGCTGGATTCGGCAGCTGCTGCAATGGTACCGCATACATTATTCCCATACCTGTCAGGTTCTTTGAGCACTAGCTGCGACTTGCGACAGCGCTGCTTGTCTTCTCAGAGCGGTGCGTAGTCTCTGCCACTCCTCCCCGCGGTCCCTGCAGCTGAAGATGTCTCGGGGTACCTGCCAGGAGCCAAGAGCCTTCACGCAGAAAGCGAGCTGCGAAGCCCTGGGCCCGCTGCTTGCGTAACGTTGCAGCACCTGTCCCATGTACTCGGGCCTTGTCGTAAACTCTACAGGATTTCAAAGGCATTTTCAATTTCAACATTGTCTCAGCTGCACCAAGCTGCTGAGGAAGCAGTCCTGCAAACCCGTCCCGTATGCTTCGGAGCGAACCTTGCGGGACACTTCACTCCCCCTCCATGCGAACTGAAACTAAAAGTCAAGTCGACCAAGCATGGACCAAGCGACCGCGCAGCACTCCTCCCAACTACGGTTGGACCAGCAACCTGCAGCGCAGGCATGCTATGAGATCCAAAGATCCAGCAAAAAAACCTGCAGACGTCACGCATGGCAAGGACGGAAAGCGGCCAGGAGCCCGGCTCTTATGCAGCAACTTCTGATCCATGTCAGCGACACGGCTGAAGCCATGGCCGGCCGACTGCACGCACTAAGCTTACAGCATCGTCGAACTTCGAGGTAGGGTGCAGAATCAGGTGACCCAGGCTGATGGCTGGCGATCGTGCATCGTGAAGTCCTGCAGCCAGTAGTACATGAGATCATGATGCGGCGCATTGTTTTGGTGCATGTCCGTTGCGGATTTTTTGTCTGGAGCTGGACGTGCGCTTGTACCTCATGGTGTGCTGCCCATTGTGCTGGGGCATTACCCGAGGCTGCGGAAGCTGCATCATTATCACAAGCCCCGACTGCGAGGCCCACCGGCCAAAAGCGGGACACGAAGCACTGATTGTTTTCTCCGCAATTACATTGTCTGTTGAGGATTCTCGAACCCTATCAACGGCAGAAATATCAAGGATTATCAAGAAGCTTTACGTATCCTAAAAACGGTAAGCATCAATCTCCCTCTCTCTCAGTCGCACAGAGCAAATCCACAAGCAGCCTTTTCAGCTGTTCGGCGTAACCCCTCTTTTCATGGATTGGTCACACGCTTTTGATTCGGTATCTCAGTAAGTGCCAAGAAATGCGCTACCCCACATAGGTGTCACAAATGTTCGCTGATCCGATTTTGTCCATATACCAAGACTGTCACTTTACGGTCAAGGATTCCGGTTACGAGTCGCCCCACAAAATTTGAAGAGGCATCCGCCAGGGGCGTCCATTGTCGCTTTACCTGTTTGTAGTCATCGGCACATGCAGCCAAATGCCTGCATGACTTTTTTAAGCACCCTTCCATCACCATAACATTAAAGCACAAGCTGTTAGTACATTCCCAGACGGTGCCAACGATCCCGCTGTGTGGCGCGGAATCGCAGGTGTATCTCCAATCACAGCTGACAAAGCTAAACAAATCACACTATATAAGGTTCAAAACAAATCTTTCACATTAAAAGATCCTTCTACCATAAAGCCCTCCGATGCAGATTGTTCCAAAGAATATCTTTCCCAACTAGCACATGAGTACGCTCGAAAGCGCCCTCAACCAAACAAGGCCGTTGCAGCAACATTGCAAGACGCGGGGGTCGTGGGTTGGGAAGCGTTCGGGGCATGCACGGGGCGCGTAGGCCTACCGTTTGCTTGAGATGGTACAAAATTTCAGCTGAAAGTCGATCGGTTCGGAACAAAAAGTTTCAACAGTGGTCTGGCCCCAGCAAAGCTGGCACACCCGAGGAAAACGCCAGAACCGCATTCCGATGCTCTCGGGACCCGTTGTGGGAACTGTGCTGCGGGTTCCCATCCCTACACAGTTTCAAAGAAGTCTACAAAGCAATAGTTTTTCTCTGAAACTTTATTTCCGACAGCATCGCGAAGGGTTCTTCCGTGCGAAGCCTCGAGAGAGGTACATAGAATCAAGTACACAAAGTGCATCGAGTCAAGTGCACAGTACAGAGAGTGAAGTACATGTTCCAAGTGCATAGTACATAGCGCATAGCTCAAGTGCATAGTCATAGTCATTAGACTTGGCTTTTTGTGGCTGGTGCGGGCCTCAATGACAGCGTCAGCTGCACTCGGTCCCTAACAATCCATCCAACAACAAACACACAAAAACGGCCGTGAAACAAGAGCCTTAACAAGCTGCTGCGGGTTCGCAAGCTACGAAGCTAGCCCGTTCAGGAACTATTCTACAAAGCGGCTCTCAGCGACATGCAGAAATGACAGAGAGCCGGCGCTCTGAGCCGTCCGAAGCAGCGGTGGCTCCCCCAAAAAGAGGTCACCGGCCGTCGTTCTAGTCCCGTCGGNNGCGACCCCGCAAACTTCGTTTCCGCGATGTCGTGTGCACCAAAGTCCACGGCAAATTCCAAGCAGCACATGCCCACCCAGCAAAGTGTAGGCAACATTCCACTTGTCAGAACAGCTGTTCTGAAGACCTTACCACGCAAGTGGCTTGCAAGGCATGCACGATGCTTCAGGCGGGCCGCAAGCCATGGGATTGCACGGTGCGACGCACGCACAAAATGGGAGCAGCTGAATCGCTGCAGCAGGCGGCCATACCACGCACTTGCCAGCAAGATTCTAAGGATGGAGAAGCAGCAGCAGGCGACGACGATGACGGCCACTCTCGATGTACTAAGCTTTGTGTGGAACACAAGTCGCTGTGTGCGGCTGAATGCAACAGAGCATGAGGGGCACTGGTGCCCCAAATGCGTTTTGAGCACATCTGTCGCAGGACGATGAACGGCTGCGATGGCATGGAAGAGCAGACGGAAGTGTTCCGAGAAAAAATTCCTCAAACAACTGTGGAGCATTCTTCTTTTGAACTCTGTCATGTTGAGTGCACTAGAAGCATGCAGCAGTCGGGTGCATTTGCTTGCCTGGGATGCATTGCAGAATCTTGCTTGTTTTGTTGCCTCCAGCATTTCTCGAGCTGGCGGCTGCAAACAGGCGCTGCAAACTCAGCCATGCCGCCACCTTTCTACTGCGGTCCAACTGTCAG